TGCCCTTGATCATTCCTCATCCACTCACCTGTCTACATGAGCATTTTAGTACAAATCAGGAGCACACATTAACACTTATAACCTACATTACTAAGGCAGTGCCAAAGGAAAATGTCTTATCAACAAGCTACAAAGCATTAGAAACCACTACATCATAAATTAAGTCTAATTTGCAACCATCAAGAAACAAACAAACAGAAATAGTATTTCCAAGCATAAGGGTTTATTTTCTTTTATCTTTTGCTTTATTTTATCTTACGGAAAAAATTAGGGACCTAAACCCTGATGATAGCAACACATTAGTCAAGTTCACAATTTCTTGGATTATACCCAGTTACAGGAACATCCCACATGAAATATTAATATTTAATACCCTAATAGTACAAAAACCTGTACCCTCAAAAAATTGTCAGGACCCATGGCTACTCTCATGTAGTGACTCTCCCGTTACATTCTTTTACATTTAAAGCTGATTGCGAATTTGCCTCTAAAATGTTTAGCAGCCATAAAAAATACTTCTGTTTGAGATTAGCTATCATCGTTGCCTGAGGACTTCACTTAGAGAATCCAGTTTAGCTACATTCTCTTTGCAAAGCATGTAAAAAATATTTTTCTTCATCAGATTCAGGAGATGTGACCCACAAAAAGCACACACAATGAATAAAATTGAAGTTATGAAGACAGTAAATTTGAAACATGTATTATTAAAAATTATACACCATAGATGGTGTCAAAGTATATGTCCTAAATTAAGAGGTGGTGGTCATACATCATATTTGAAAGAGTAGGCAAAAACTATGGGGACTCACTACTTATCAGGGGTGGATTCAGGAACCTAAAATGAGTCTGAAAATAGAAAACTGTAACTAGATGGAGTTTCCTCTCAGTGATATCCATTCCCGTAGCACCTAATTCTGCCATCAAGCATCATTGTCTCCAACATATTATTTAAGGATTTTGTAATTTCAGGTCTCACTCCCTCTCTTGCACTTATGCAATGCCTTTCTTCTGAGAATTGCAGAGGTTTGTATATAAATAATAAGGTATATAACACCTATGAATTAGGAAGTTCCACCTTTCACAGATAGAACTGAAACAGAGCTAACGCACCCCAGATCTACAAATTTTCTGAAGTCATCTTCTCCCAGAAAAGATTACAATAACTCTAATTTGCTTTGGAAAATTGCTGTGTCCTAAGTGAACTCTCCTGCAATTTGAAGGTATCTTACTGCAGTAATATCTAACATGAAAGAGGAAGGGACTGTTATTTTTTCCCGAATCAGATTTCCGTGATATGTGTCATTACAAGTCCAAAACAAGTGAACGCTGATGCTACGGAGGTATCAGTCATGACTCTGCAGCTGTGGGCGAGCTCCATTCTACACTTTTTTTCCACTTAAAAAAAAAAAAAAAAAAAAAAATCAATTCAAATCCTGCTATGCTTAAAAAACGCATCATATACTCTCTAACCTGAATGACCAACATGAAGTTCGTTCTCCAAATGTAAGTTTTAACATAAATTCACTGATGTGTGAGCAGAATCTACACAGAATAAGAAAAATATGATTCCTTGGAGCATTACCATCAGCCTCAGCATGACCCGGGATGATTTTTGGCTACAGCACGAAGCAGGGTCTTCCCAGCCTGCTGCAGCCCATTTAAAGTGTAAGCGCATGTTTCATGAAGAAGCAAGGTGGTAGCCAAGCTCAGGGCAACAGTTTCTAACTACTGTGATTAGACAGACAAGAAGGAAATTCAGACCAAGGGCTGGTGTGGGAGGTCGTTTTGACAGAGAGAAACTTTGCTCTCCAAGCTGATTTGCACATGGCAATCCTATTTAAACGGAGCAACGTAGAGAAAGGGCTTGCATCAGAAGTTTTCACTGATAAATCGTTTCTTTCCAGCCGCCACCGTTTTGTAAAGATCCTACAGCCGGAGACAAGACGCAGAATTTGTGCTCATAAAGCTCCCTGCGGTACTGCTGCCTCCAGTACGGCATGGAAAAAAAAGTAACCTTAGCTGGATAACTACAATTGGATCATACGCTGAGCTTTTAACTGTACAGGCAGAGGGACTCGCTCTTTGCTTCTGTTTGTGGGGGGGCGGTTGTGTTTGGCTTTTTTTTTTCCTTCTTTTTGGTGATATTAATCTCCATAGTACTATTCCAAATCAATAACTCCATTACAAAATAAAGGCATTTTCATCAGCTCACTTTCAGCTGCTCTGCCAAAAAAAAAAAAAAAAAAAAAAAAATCTTAATTAGCCAGTATTTTTGGGCTGCTTTGTTATAACCAGCAGAATGGTGAATCTGCCCCCAACTGTTAATAATTAAAAAGTCATTTAAGGCTGCATATCTTCAAAGCATTAAAAATAATTATGCAACAGGACTGTTACGGGGTATGCTCACTTAATATAGCTCAAAGAAATGAGATAAGAATTACTTACTGAAGATGTACATATAAGGCTGCCTTGCAATGAAGGTAGGTGTGTGTGGAAGGGGAACGGAGGAGGAGGAGATCCTCACTGGGAAAAGACTACTCAAAGTTTTCTCCAAATATTCTTTAGTGGAATCTGCTGCTTTTTACCTCATCTTGGAAACATATAGCCATGCAGATAAGGCAGTATTAAATGGATCACTGCTGCCTCTGGAAAGGAAGATAAGTTAGCCTTTGCTGCTTAGATATTCGCTTTCTGACAGCTGTTCTTCTTTCTCACAAACTTCCTCTGCCAAGTGAAGATTATTTGGGATTGACAAACCTGTGCTTTGGAATAAACAAGATCTTTTCTCTGATAGGGTGTTGGAAACTGATACTTAAGATACAGATAACAGTATAGTCTGTCAGGCGTATTATATAGTGTGAGGGGGTCTTGGGGAAAAGGTACCAAGCCACACAAATACCTACATATGCCTAACAGTGTTTATGAACCTGTCCTACTCCAAAAGATATCAAGAGCAGGAAATCTCTCTCTCACGCACTGCAACTCTGATTAAAAAAATGCAATTCTGCTTCCTACGCCGTGTGAGGGTGAGACAAAAAAGCAGAAAGACGAGAAAAGACCAGGAGGTTGAAGTAGCTGAAATGGAGAAATTCACACAAAGCAGTGCCAAGACCTAATGAAAGTACGAGGCAGTTTGATTTCTTGAAAAAAAAAAAAAATGCATATGCCCATGGGATCGTTACCTGCTCTGTAACCAACACCAGCCACGTGGCGCATCAGGGCTGCCAGCAGTCCTGCAAGCAGTCCTTCCCAATCAGCAAACCTGCTGCCACACCCGCAACTGGAGAGGAGGAAAAAGTTACGAATGGTCCCAAATTCCTCGGTGCCACTTTGTTAAGCACCAGTGCTAAGGCTGCTGTTCTAAACACAACCTGTGCTTGATCTGCAGCCCTAAAGGGGGGGTGCCACCTTCCCTTTAAACCTTACCAGCTCCTAATTCAGGCCAAGATGCTTCACCAGTGAGGCAGCAAACAGGCACTTCAGACACTCTTTTAATGCAAGGTCTGGAGGTCTCTGCATCTTCTCAGTCTCCTTTCCCTCAAAGAGCAGCAAGCAGGGCTAGAAGCACTTCTTTAACCCGGTACTTCAAAGATCATAGAATCATAGAATGTTTGGGGTTGGAAGGGACCCCTAGAGGTCATCTAGTACAACCCCCCTGCAGTGAGCAGGGACACCGCTAACTAGATCAGGTTGCTCAGAGCCCCATCCAACCTGGCCTTGAATGTTTCCAGAGATGGGGCCTCCACTACTTCCCTGGGCAACCGGTTCCAGTGTTTCACCACCCTCATTGTAAAGAATTTCTTCCTTAGATCTAGTCTAAACCTACCCTGCTTCAGTTTAAAACCATTACCCCTTGTCCTGTCACAGCTGGACCTACTAAAAGATTTTCCCCATCTTTCCTATAGGCCCCCTTTAAGTACTGAAAGGCCGCAATCAGGTCTCCCCACAGCCTTCTCTCCTCCACGCTGAACAAGCCCAACTCCCTCAGCCTGTCCTCATAGGAGAGGTGCTCCAGCCCCCGGATCATTTTTGTAGCCCTCCTCTGGACCCGCTCCAACACTTCCATGTTCTTCTTGTGCTGAGGGCTCCAGAGCTGGACACAGTGCTCCAGGTGAGGTCTCACCAGAGCAGAGTAAAGGGACAGAATCCCCTCCCTTGACCTGCTGGCCACGCTTCTCTTGATGCAGCCCAGAGTACGGTTGGCCTTCCGAGATGCCAGCGCACATGGCCGGCTCCTGGCCAGCTTTTCATCCACCAGCACCCCCAAGTCCCTCTCAGCAGGGCTGCTCTCGATCCTTTCTTCCCCCAGCCCGTACTGATACCAGGAATTACCCTGACCCAGGTGCAGGACCTTGCACTTGGCCTTGTTGAACCTCACGAGGTTCACACAAGCTCAGGGGTCTTCTAGACCCAATAATCCGTGGGAATTAGCTGGACTCAAGTAAACACCAGGGAACTACAAACATTTTAAGACTTCTCTAAGTTTTAGCATTTTGTCTTTTGAAAGGCTACACACACACAAGCAGATGTCATCTATACCAGCTGTCACTCACTGCAGTTACTGCCACACGAGTGATAATGTGACACCCTGAAGTTCAGGTGCTGGAATACATTCTTTTTGTTTCCCCAGATGATGTTCTGCAGCAAAATAATCCCAAACCAAACACATTACATACATGCGTATTTACATGTGTATGCGGGCAAGCACTTGAAAATGACAGCTACTCATAAATTTATCCATAAATTACCAATAGTCACTTTCAGACATGTTGCTGCTTAACATACTTGTACAGGCTGCAGGTTCCTTGAACTCAGAATCTCTCCTTTTTATTGCCAAAAGCAGCATTTAGGTGCAAAGAGGTGCTGAAACTTTGTGAAGCTTTCCCGTTACATACATGCTACCATTCACCACTTTGGATTCAAAGTTTGCTGACATCCTGTCGATAGAGATTTTCTGTTTGAATGCTTAACACCAGCCAAGCCCTGCACTTTTCTTTTACCTGGAGTAATGGATAGCTTGATGTCCTGCAATATTAAAATAGAAGTCAGTTGTATGTTTCATCTCATCAGTATGTCCAGAGACTTCAATCCAGTGTGCTATTGGGAGGCAGTAAACTCCATCTACTACGTTGCTCTCGTCGTAAACACAACTTCGATCATGATGGGGCCCATTACCTAGAACAGAAGAAAGGACAATTGCGGGCTGTGTACCTGCGAAATCCTCTGAAAGATTTGTAGGAGATGAGAAGTGAGTATTTAAGGCAAGGAGTGGTGTTCGCTGCCTGTTCATACTGCTTTTCTCATCACACGTTAACACCTCAAATAGTTGTAACAGAAACGCTGCCACAAAGCAAATGCTCAGTACTAAAATCAAGTTTTGCAAGTTATTTAAAAAAAAATTAAAGCTGTATAAGACTCCCAAATCATCAACCGTGCCACTTACAATTTCAGGAATAATTAATTCCCTTTAAGTTCCTCATCTGATGTCTGATAATACGTGACCTCAGTGTTTAATGCTTCTGCTGTGTGGCCTCCCTCTGGGGGGTTCAGCTTGCTGTGGCCCGAGGTCTAGCCCTGACAACGGCACAGCAGTGTCACCACCATGCCTCAGGCTTACTTCCAAGGAAATTGCCAAGCAACGAGAAAGACATCGGAGAAAGCAGAGTAAGGCCGTGCAAGATCAGAAAGGTAAAACCACTAACAAAGGTAGGACTGGTGTCACTGGAATTGTTACCAGCTTAAGGATTCAAGAGGAAAAACACCAATGTGGAAAGGCATCGAATGCCAAAGAAGAAAAGCTCATTAAATCCTACCTGTCTTTATGTTTGCTAACCAATAAGCAATCACTTTGTACTCTTCAGATGCACATGTCCCGCTTACAGAGTCTGCTCATACACAGTAAAAGTTGTCCAAAGTGACCCAGAGAGATGGTCACATCTGCAATGCTGAGCGATCACAATTGCCTAAAACAGCCTTGTATAAAGGAAAAAAATTTTTTACAGTTTTCTACTATCTAATATCCATTACCCCTTCTTCTTCTCTTTCAGCAATAGTGTGAGCTTTAGTACAGAAAACCAATTTTTAATACCATGCCAGAGTAAGCAACTTGAATTGAACCGGGTCGTGTCATCAATCAAAAGGTTATCTAGCCTCCCAAAATTCAATACATCTATTTTCTCCCCCCCATTTTTACATACTTATTGTAATACTAATTGCCATGTAGGAATTATTGTGCAGATTAGAAGTGACCTAGTCTATGGCTTGCTTTTAATGTAAGCCTGTTACATTTATACATTATTAATGATGTTAGAACATTTCTGAGTAAAATTATGCCTGAAGGAATACCTTCAATTCCTCACTGCACGTAGATACATGACCGGCTTCCAAGCACCACATTTAGGGAAATTTGCTAGAGCAAGAGCATTTTGGGAGATGTATTAATGCAATTATTAGAGAATAAGACTAACATTTAATACTAAAGCTCAAATGATCTCCTTATTTCCAGATGACATGCAGCATGTTTTATCATGATTGTGAAATATTATTATTTACCAAAAAGAAAAAGAAAATACTAGGCAGAAAACGATCTTCTCTCTATATTGCTGAACCATTACGTATCACATGCAATGTTATGACACAGCTTTTGATAAATAAGGTGGGCAAGATCAGTATATAGCTCCTGAAGCTACAAATCTTACCGCTATATTTTTATCTCACGATTGTAATTGTTTACACATTCTTACCACTTTTAAACAATATTTGAAGACAGCAGTATACATCAACAAATACATACAACAGCGTAACAAAACCTATTTGAAGACAGCAGTATACATCAACAAATACAACAGCGTAACAAAACATATAGATGTTTATAACACTTAATTGACCTAATGCATTCAGCCAAACCTTTACAACCACACATAACACATCTTGCCTTCCCCATTTTACTCTCTGACAACTGTCTGCAGCGATGCACATCACCGTGGCCCTGCCCAGCCATCACAAGGCTGTGTCTGATCCTCACTCCCAGCCTCAGCCCCATCCCCACGTAGGTACCTAATGCCCAGCACTACTCTGGTGGGCCCAGCTGCCTGCTCCTGGGTGCCAGCCCTGTGGGGTGTCCCTGCAGTCCCCAGGGAGCCACCAGCACCCCAGCAGTTTGGAACCATGTTCTCAGGATCTCTGGCTCTTTTGCTGCTCCCAGCCCTGTTTTCCCTCGTACTCACTGTGGCTCCCCCAAGGACTGCCCCTTCCATTGCTCACAGCTGTTCCTCCTCTCCCACCAGGGCTTCTGCACAAATTTTTGCAATCACAATCTATGATCTCTCCCTCCTGCTTAATTTCTTCTTTCCTCGAGGTGCTAGTCAGTCCTACAAGGCCATAAAGCCTCATTCTTCTTGGTCTTCATGATCTCAATTGCATTGCTGCGTGCTTCCCACTTTCCTGTTTCCAACTGCTGCTTGAGCAGTGTGTACTTCTGTCACTTGCCGGTTTTGCTGTCCATCCTCCTTCTCCTCTGGTTTTAATTCTTGGCTCTTTTTTCCCCTTCCCTCTCTATTACCTGCCTTCTTAAATGGCAGTAACCTCCTTGCCTTGTAACCTTTTCGCCTTCACCATCATTCATTCCCTTACCTAGCCTACAACTGCACCTTAAAGTGGGGCCAAGAGTAAATTGCCATGAGACAGCTGTTTTGCTTGTTCCCTCAAACAGGTTTTGTCAAATCTCATTCTGAAAAGCTTCCTTCTTGAATTGTTATTTATCACTGTTGGTTTTTCTGCACCACTCAACCTCACCTCCCCGCCGTGGCCTACAGTCAAACAGGAATCTCAAAAGGTATGTTTCCATTTTGGCTGTAACACCCCAGCAAACAACAACAGCTTCCATTTGTAACATTTTTCATGAGAATTGCACAGCTCTTTGCTAGTCCTTGCATACTATCTACTGATCTATGAATTAACAACCCTCTTACTGCAATATGATGTCTGTGCAACAGAACGTACATGAATATACATTCAATATACATATTCATGTGTGTATGTATAATTCATGTATATATGTGTATGTTCATGTGTGTATATATAGAGTCATAGAATGTTTTGGGTTGGAAGGGACCCCTAGAGGCCATCTAGTCCAACCCCCCTGCAGTGAGCAGGGACACTGCTAACTAGATCAGGTTGCTCAGAGCCCCGTCCAACCTGGCCTTGAATGCTTCCAGGGATGGGGCCTCCACTGCCTCTCTGGGCAACATGTTCATGATGAATATATATTCAACAAATACAGTGATATAATTTCAGACAGGAAGGGGAGAGTGATACCATCCCCGAGAAATACTAATTTAGAGAACAGTATGATCATACTGAGCTGTTCAGGAAGCTGAAATCTCCATTCCCTTTGCAAGGAGTTATGAAAGAAGGCAATTACCGCAAACGATCAGGACCTCGCTACCCAGGCAATATCCAAATGATACACAAGTGCTTCTTGCCACAGTTTGCTTCACACTTAACAAGTAAGTTTCAAAAAAAGAGAAAATTGTTCTATCGGTTCACATCATGCTTCTGCTAGCACAGTTTGTCACAGGAAAACTGTAATATTTTGGATGCCATAAAACAACAGCACAAGGAAATAGTTTTAGAAGTAGAGCCAGATGACAAGTTTGGGGGAGTACTGTAGAACTCATCTATAATTTAGAGCTGCTATAAAAGGGCTTTATCTTCCAGAGCCATTTAATACAAAAATAAGTCAGCCAATGATACCAACTTTCATTCAAGGTAACTGATCGTTGAAAACAACCAACATCACTTACATGTTCTGTCACATATTTGCAAAACGTACACAGTCAGGGAAATGGGCACAGCTTGGTAGATGAGCAGAAGTCATTAACTGGATTATCCTCAGTTCTTCCTTTTCCACCCCTATCTTTTTAAACCTTTCCTCATGAGTTTCCTTGGTCTGAAGCAAGGTGCATCAGCCTTGTGGTATGAGGTACATCCGGTCAAAACACGCCCTAGTCTAGTTTTAGCCCCTTTATCTCTGCTGATGGAGCAGGCTCCTTGCATCTCCTCTGTGGTAGTTCCATGAATCCACCAGACTCAGACGAGCTGGCCCAAGACTTCTTGCAAACACAGGAAGAGTTTGTGCTAAGAACAAAAAAGCTTTCAGAGTCAGAGGTGGGATAAAAATCTGGCACGCTAAATGAAATGCTTACTCTCCCCTCCCTTGCCACGACAGGCCAAGCAAACTCCTTTCTGGATGTGGATCCCTGGAGCACGGGGGCTGTCCCACGCCCAGGGTAGCCAGTTGGGCAGGGTGTTAGCTCCAGGCAGCACCCAACGGCACCGCAAACCAAACCCCACCACTTCCTCGTGCTCTCTCTGGTCCAGGGCTGTTTGTGGGGTGCGGTCAGCTAGTTTGGGAGGAAACAGAGCACCTGATGCAGGCAGTGGGACCAAGCTTGGCAGAAACTGATTCTTCTCAGTGCATCAGAAATGTGTCGCGGCCCTGGTGCTCAGGAACCAGAGGGAAAAGATAGAGGCCAGTGCAGAGACAAGTGCCGTGAGACTGCATGTATGCAGAGTCTGGACATGTCTGCTCGTGACTGAAGCTGCTCATACCCACACCAAGCTCCCACTCTGCTTAATTCCCTCACAGGTCCCAGTTATCTGAAAGGCCACCGCACCTTTGGATCTTCTAAGTGACTTTCTAAGAAGTCAGACTCGGCAGCCGACCCCCACAGAAACTCAGCTTTATTACTCACTTCTCAAATGCACAAAGCATTTCACAAAGTAAATTACCCAAACTGAAGGCCTAGTGCTGAAGGTTAGTTGCTGTACCTGAAGCTGGGAAAGGTCCTATCTACAAGCTGGGAAGGCTATCCTGACCGTGCTGGGCAACCCCTGCCTGTCAGGGTGCCTCCACATCACCGCCTGGCATGGCACAGAGAACGCCCAGGGTTTCATTTGCTGCAATCCAACGTGCTTCCAGGACCACAAGAGCAGATGACATCTTTACCAGGAACCAAGTGTGCACCACTGGCCAGTCCCAGGCACATACCGCTCACGCAGAGATTGAACGGTCGGAGGATTTTGCATCCCTATTACAAGCTGGGTGCTAGGAGGGAAACAGCTTGAAGCGTGCCAGTGCTGAGCGCGAGGGCAGACTGCAAAATCCCCACGGG